TGCACAGAGCGAATAGCCTGCTGCTTGTCCTGGAGCCGGGGTTGGAGCTCGCTGCCCATCCTCCTTTGGTAGTGCCCAGGAAGCCTGCCCATCTGCTGCCTTCCCAGGTCCCCTTATCAGCTGCCCAGAGCTCTCCTGTCAAGGACAGCACAAACCATTCCTTGTAGGGCCACGGCTTGCAGGCCGCACGTCCGTATTTCATCATTTACATGTTTGGTTAGGAGCTGTGCAGGCCTGGGGCCAGCAGCCTCCGCATCTAGCCCCTGGGGATCACGAACTGTTGGCTCACTTTCATGTTTTGGAACTGGCCATTTCCGACCTCGTGGCAGTGGGTCCTGCACAGCAGGGTGCGGCTGCGGCTGGGCTCCAGCAACATTGGGGCTGCTCTCCACGCTTAAGCCCTTGCCTTCTGAGAACACCATCCTGCCTCAGCCAACATGGGCCTCTCGTCTGGCTAGGAGTTAAGGAAGCACTGAGGCAGGCCGGAGTTTTTGGGTGCTGCGCTGACTTCAGGAGGGGCAGGGCCCTTGCCCTTGCCTTGCACTGTCTCTTTGCTGAGGCTCCTTGCAGCAGCCAGTGTGAGAGCCCCTTTGCCCTGTCACAGGACAGAGGAGCGCTGGGTCCTGGGCCTCTGGGTGGACTCTGATTGCACCTTGCCCGTGCTGTGCCCCTCCTGTTGTATCCACCTGTGCCACCCTGTGGCTCTGTGGGAACTGGGCTGCTCCCAGGAGCCCATGGACTCTCTTCATTTCCTTCTGTGGAGGTGGCTGTTGCATCCTCTCTCTCCTCTCTTGCTGCAAAGCTTGGCCAGGTGGCCCATGACCAAGCCGCTGCCAGTCAGTGTGGCCAGAGCTCCAGACACAGGCTCCAGCTCACAGGGCCCGTGTGGGCAGCACTTCCTGGAAATCCGCCTGCTTTTGCCTTGATCTCATAGGCTCCCAGGATGAACATGAGCCTGGTGACTCCTGGGTCCCCTGCAGCTGCTGCCCCACGATTCTGCCTGGGAATGAACCCAGGCTGGTGGAGAATGGGTGAGAAAGGGAGAGAAGAGGCAGAGTCCTCACTGGGCATTTGGACTGCTGGATGCAGCTGTTCCTGCAGCTGCTGTTCTTGTGAACTCAGACTGAAAAATCAGTTCTAGAAGGTACATGGCCTCTCCCCTCCTTTTTGGTTTTAGCTACTTTGGCCTGGACTCACCTGACTTATGAGAGACCTGGATAGTACTCATTCCTTTTGTGACCCCAAGTCCCTTCTGTGCGCTGGCAGCCCCAAAGTGAGGACAAAGGACACGGGGTTGGAGGAGAAGAATCGTTTTACAATGGAAAAACTACCACTCAGAGACTGGCACATCAAGGCCTACAGGAATAGAACCAACCCACCCACCCTGGTGCCATGTGATGGGATGCAATGTAAGGAAACCAGCATTGCTTAAAGGTGTGCCTGCTGAAATATATTACATGAATTTAGCGGAAACATCACAGAAACCAAATCACTTAGATGTTAAACTCAATGCTTGGTCCTTTGTTTTCTAAGACATCAAGGTCATGGGTGTTAGGGAAAGAACAAGGAACACTTGGGCCTGGCACGATAGCCTAGTGGCTAAATCCTCACCTTGCATCCTCACCTTGATCCCATATAGGTGCCAGTTCTATCCCAGCTGCTCCACTTCCCATCCAGCTCCCTGCTTGTGGCCTTGGAAAGTTGTAGAGGACGGCCCAAGGCTTTGATACCCTGCACCCATGTTGGAGACCCAGAAGAGGCTCCTGGGTCCTGGCTTTTGATTGGCTTAGCTCTGGTCATTGCAGCCACTTGGGGAGTGAGCCAGCACATGGAAGATCTTTCTATATCTCTCTTTGTAATAAATAAATAAATAAATAAATCTTAAAAAAAGGAACACTTAATTCCACAGACTGAAGAGGAGGCTGAGCAGGATGCTTGCTGCTCAGTGGCATCTCGTGGCCATAGCAATCCCAGTTGGGACAAATGTGGCCATTGAGTTGGACCCAAGGATACAATGGTGGAGACCTGTCTGTTGACATGATTTTGATGGTCCCATCATGCTTGCGTGAGCGAAAACTGTACCCTAAAATATTCCAGCCTTGGGGTGCTTAGCCAGCAGTAGCCTCGGCTTGCTCTGGGTTGTATTCTTCTTCGGTCTGACGTTTGAAATTCTGTCAGGAGGCCAAGGCAAGGCAAGTGGGGTCTCTTTGTGAGCAGCCAACCTTCCCTGCAGCCAGCCCTGGGTCCCGGCCCTTTCCCTACCTGCATGGGATGCTGGGAAAGCGGGTTCACACAGAGGGGGAGTGTGCTGCTCGCAGCATCCACCCTGCCCTGAGCGTCTCCATCGTGCAGCCTGGAGCAGCCAGCAGAGGTAAGCTTACTGGGAGCCCAGTTGCTGGCTCTGTCATTGGGCTTCTAGGCCTGGTCTCACAGGCACCAGGGGTAGGATTGCCGGACTATCCCCAGGACGTGCACAGCTCATCCCATGCAGTAAACGCCTGCCAGAACGTCGCAGCACACCCCATAAATAGAGCCCGTGTGGCCAGTTGTATGCAGAGCCGGAGACAATTCACAGTGAGAGCCTTTATAAGTAAACACTTGTAGCGCTGTGAAAACAGTGCAGGCACCGGAGTAAGCTCGGGGTGTTACGCGTGTGCAGACAGAGGGTGACTGAGATGCCTCAGGAGGCCAGGGGAGGCCAGAGAGGTCTCCAGAAAGCGGGGCAAAGGGAGGTGCATTTCCTGCTGGCCAGCGAGGAGTGTGAAGTCTTGTGAGGGTTCAAATTTTAGCACTAAGCCCCCCCCCCCCTTTCAGAAACATTTTTAAAGCTTTTCTAATGGAGAGAGAGGAAAGAGAACTCTGGAATACTCCCTAAATGTCTCAGGGCCGGGAGCACCGTCCAAGCTTTCCACCAGCGTGGGAGCTGTCACCACTGCCCCCAGGCTGGGCTCCAGCAGGGAGCTGGAATGGGGACAGAGCTGGGACTGAACCAAGGCACTCCTGTAAGGGAGGTGTGCAGGTGTGCCTGGCTCTGGGGCTGGTGTGCAGCCCCCGTGGTACCACAGCAAAGCCTGGCAGCCTCCTGGTGGAGGCAGCAGGGTAGGGAGCTTCTGGGAGAGGGCGCAGCCTGGGGTAGGGCAATACTGCACTTGGCTTCAGAGGGGAGCAGGGAAAGGAAGCAGGGCCTGAGAGGAAGAGGGCACGAGCTTGCCAGGGTGTGTGCACAGGCCCTCGTGGTTCTGGAAGTGGACGGGACGTGGCCTGGCCTGAGTGTGCAGAGGGTGAGGTCGTGCCGGGGTCACTAGGACACTGGAGTCAGCGAGGGCAGAAGATGCTGCAGGCGAACTCTGCCTTGAAACTCAGGGATGTGAAGGAATGTTGGAGAGACCTGGGCTGTGAGACCTGCGGTAGTGGGGGGCCAAGGACTGGGGGTACCCACTGTTGTTGTCACACTCTCTGTGCAAGCATCGTGGTGGAGTCCGGGGCTGTCTGCTGCCTGAGACCCCTCCAGCCTGTGACTATAAGACCCCCATGGACAAAGTCCCAATGCCATGCTGGCGTTTCTGCAGAAGAGAGCGTGTGTGTCCTGCAGTGTCCTGTCTGCCATGTCCGGCAGCGCAGCGTTGGCTGCCTCGGCCTTCCTGCAGTCCCAGACACAGGCTGCCTCCTCCGTTGTGTCTCCTGTGCTGCAGGCGGGTGCTGAAGGGACAGGGTACAGGGCCTTTGCATAGGCACTTCCTGTGCCCATCATTAACTGCTGCCCTCTGCATTGATGCAGGTGTTGCTCTCTTGGGGCCTCTCTCTCAATGTTCCATGTCTGGGCTGTCGTGCAGGCTTTCTGGGAACATGCGTGGGCTGAGGGCTGTGAGTTGGCACTAAGCCGTGGATGTGCCTGTCTGAGGCCTGTGTCTCCTACAGACTGTAGGAGCCCATGAGCAGGACCCCTGCTTATGTGCTCTGCAGTCCCTCCGGGGAGAATTGGGAAATGAGCAGGGCAGGTTCCACTGATGCTTCTGGGAGAGACCAGCAGTGCAGAGGCTGCTGGAGGTGTGTGGCGGGGCAGCACAGAGCCTCAGTAGGTGGAGCTGGCCTTTGATAGCCAGTCCCTGCTTGGCCAAACATGGCGGGGATTGTGAGCGGGAGCCTGTGCCTGTCTGGGAGAAATAGGGGGAAAGCGGAGGGTCCTGCGGCCAGCAGGGCTGGGTCTAGACGGACGCACCTGTCAAGGGCTTGCCCTGCAACTCACTGGGCAATGGGGGGCAGTGGTGTGGAGTGGGGTGGGGCTGTGCTTGCTGTTTCTTTAGAGATCAGAAGCACCAGAGAGCCCAGTGGCTGCAGGTGCAGAGCCAGCCCTGCTGTCTCCATGGCTGCCAGGCGCTGTGGCAGCACCGTCAGAGCCCGGGGTTGGGGCTTCCATCGGTGAGAGGCGGCAAGAGAAAAGCCGGGGCTTGGGGTGGACAGGAGGCCAGGTGCCCTTGTGGATTTTGGGTACTTAAATCCCCCCCGAGCAGTCCATCCTGCCGCCCTTCTTTTAGCCTGTGGTGAGCGAACTGATTCTCACTGAGATCAGAACGGGAAGAGAGAATCCGATCCCCAGGCCCTCCCATGGGGCTTGCTCTGGGCTCTGCTGGCAACACTTAAAGGTGGAGAAAAATCCTAAACAATGCCAGATCTGCCTGCTCCAAGCGCCGTGGGCAGCTGAGAGGAGTCCCTGTTAAAGAGTAGCTCTGCTGTTCCTGGGAGGCTGTGACATGAACAGCAGCAGGCGGCATGCTGGGAGTGTCCTGCCTGCCTGGGGTGACGGCTGCGTGTGGAGTCAGTGGCCTTGACTGTGACCTCTGCAGCCCTGGGCTTCAGTGGGTGCTGCCAGATCTGCTTTGACATTAAGAATTAGATAATGGTGCACGCGCAGTCATAAAACTTTTATTGATATGCTCATCAGGCCAAAAAAAGAGCTGTTTATTTGAAATTCAGATTCCACTTAGGAAAAGAGGCAACAAGTGACACAGTTGGGATTCCACGCTGCTCCTGGGGTTGGTGGCTGCTCGTGGGGTCACTGCCTTTCCCGGCACCTGCACACCCCACTCGGTCTTCGGGCTCTCAGGATATTTCTGGATTGGAAATCTCAGGTCCTTGAGAAGCCCCCATCACCGAGCCTCCAACACAGACCTTTCTGAACGGACGCTGTCTATGGCTGGGGCGCTTCAGTGGGCCTGGCCTTGCTTCTCAAAGCTGGGGAGGGTGTTCCTGTGGTTTGTGGCTGGGGGTGGGCCTTCAGGAGCGCACAGACTTGCTGCAGGTGGGACACAGCAGCCGCCCCTTGGTGACGATGTATGCCCGGCCGCTCAGTGGCTGCTCGCAGCCCTCACAGACAAAGTGCTTCCGGTGCCACGCCAGGTCCTCCACGCGCTGGAAGTCCTCTGAGAATATGATCTGGGAGCAGGGAGGGGGACATGCGTGACTTCCATATGTCACTCAGAAGATATGGCAGCAGTGGCCACTGCTACGGGGTGGGCTCCTCCTGTCCCCTGCCATTCTGGTTGTGACCTGGTGGGCCCTTGTGACACCTGACTCAGACCTAAGGTTTAGACAAAAAAGGCTCCTCGTTGCTGGGGGATGTTCTGCTGTCCCAGCACCTGAGATGTTGGGGATGTGTCAGCGGGGGTCCCCTGGGAATGCAGCTCCAAGGTGAATGAGTCACCAGGGGTATGGGCAGGAACAACAGCATTGAGGTCCCATGGGACCAGGAACCCAGTGACCTTAGGCAGTGTCCAGCATGCTGGCCAGTGGGGCCTCAGATGGAGCAAATGGGCTGATGTTCGTCCCCAGCTCTGGGATTCTGGCATCCTCACCCATAGGGTGCTGTACACAGAGGCTTTGGGACATTGGAGAGACAGCCTCGGTGCTGACTGTCCCTCGCTGCTCTGATCCCACAGGGCCTCCCCTTGGCTGTCATGGCCCTCCCTTTACATGTCATGTGGATCCTGGGACCCCAATTGCTGTGGGGACAGGCCAGGTTCCATTCCTAGTGCCATTGTAGGGGTGGGAAACTGAGGCACGGGTCTGTCTGTGAATGAGGACAGTGAGCAAGGACCAGGCTAAGCCCCCATCCACACGGGAGGAGACAGAGGCTGGGAGCACGGTGGGGGTCCTCACCTCATCGCAGCCGGAGCATCGGGGCCGCAGGCTCTCACAGTAGTGGCGGCCACACCAGGGTGCGCCATCCTTCCAGAAGTAGATGAGATCGACCAGCGGCTCGCGGCACTGGGTGCACACAAAGCAGGTGGGGTGCCACTGCTTGCTATAGCCCGCCCTGTCCGAGTAGACCACCGGGCTGTCGGCTGGGGCCGTCCCCTTGCACAGCTCACAGACCTAGAGGGCAGGGAAGGACACCAGGGCAGGAGAGGCTGTCAGCCCAGTGCCAGGAGTCCACATCCTAGCCCCACCCCTGCATGGCCTGGGGCTGGTGGCTACACCTGTGTGTTCTGTTTTTAGTAAAATAGACTGACACTATTGCTCCTGGTGGGTTGTTCATGAGGATTAAGGTGATTTACTGAGTGCAGTGTCACCCATGATGCTCATAGGACCCAGTGCCCAAGACCCCCAGAGGTCCATGTGAGCGCCAGCTGATGACATTTGCCATGAGAGAAGCAGACACTGAGTGTTAGAAATGCAAGAGTTCAGTGAACACGCCACCAGCACTTCGTTCTAGGATGTCAGTTATTTCTAGAATTCTCTACTTTCCCTGCCCGTGGGAATGCTGGCCCCAGAGGCCATGGCTGTGGGATGTCCTGACCTTCAGTGCTGAGAAGGTCCTGCTCTCCTTGGTGGCTTGTCTTGGGTCTGCTGTGGTGGCAAAGAGCTGGCTGATGCAGTGTCATTGCCTGCCCCAGAGCCCAGCACTCTGTGCCCCTGGCTGGCAGCCCTCACAGGAAGTCATCTGTTCCCCCAGGGAGAGCCAGCATCTCTTAAAGAATTGTTTGTTTTCCTGCCTAGAGCCAGCAGAGTTGAGATTCAGTGGGAGGCGAAGCTGGGACAGGAACACGGGGCAGCTGCATTGTGGGTGCTCACCGAGGTCAGCCGTCTGTGACCCTGGGCAAGCCCCACTGTCATTGGTAAGGTCCTGAGCTGAGGAGGAATTCCTGTGTTTGCACTTCCATGAAGTGAGATGCTTTATCCCCACTGAGGATTTATTTCAGTCCCTAGTACACTTGTGCTGCACCTTCGTCAGTCATGACACCTTGAATTTCATCAACACAAATCTCATGGAGACGTCTCCATTTTGTCAAGTGAAGCATGTTTTCTGGAGTTTGGCTCTTGGCTCACAAAACCTAAAATACTGCTCACTGTGGAAGATGCTTGCTTACCCTGAAGTTGAGTGATAATTGTAACTTATTGAGCACCTGCTCTGTCGGCCCAGGCAGCGGTGGCTGTAATGTGGGCACACAAAGCTGCTGAGGCATACAGTTAGAGTTTAAACATTACCTAGTCTTAACTTACATATGTCACATTCTCTCAGATGCTGAAGGAGGAATAAAAGCTAAGACGTGAAAAGCTGTGTCCTGGGTACGGCGGTTCTCAGTGAGCTTCCTGACAAGCAGCACATGGGCTCCTGGGGTAGCCAGGCATCCTTCCAGAGGCCTGGGAGCAATGGAGTTGGAAGACAAGCTTCATTGGTGCTCAGGACCTGAAGCTCCTGCCGGGTGTCCATAATGCACACTTCCACAGTCACGTTGGGTACCCTTCATGCACATGGGGTCCAGTGGTGTTTAACACTCAGATAAACTCATCCTTCCCACGTGCATTTCCCATGATCTTGGTGACATCCTGCCATCCTGGTGACGGTTCTTAGAGCACACACACTCTGTCACTTACACCCACAAGAATCACTGGTGAGAGCTCCTGCCAGTGACGACCAGGCCCTTGCCCTGCACAGGCTGCGTCTCCTCCGAGTCTGTACCAGGAGAAAGAGGCGAATCGGGGGTCCCTTGGCTTGCTTTGTCTGGTTAGCGAGATGGCAGAGTCTGTTTGAGGTTCAAGTGAGCTTCCTGTCCATCTGGGACCTTTGTTTTAAGGAATATCTCTAGCCCCTGTCCTTCTGCTTAGGCGGTACTTGCTGTGGGTTCTCTGGGTTACACCCATGAGGGTTCTCTGGCCACTACCATGAGGATGCAGTGGGGCTGTCTACTTGGGAGTCCAGAAGGAGACAGGGACAGAAAGGCCCCTGGGCTGGAAGGAGCATCAGCAGGCCGCTGACCACAGAGAGGATGTGTTGGGGGAACCCAAGGCAGGGGCAGTAGTTTGGTGGGGGTGGCATTGGCCGGTGGGGCCGCCGTGGGTTCTGGACACTGGAAGTGTGATATTCTAGGGGCTCATGAGGACAGCAGAGCTTTGTTTCTGGTCACAATCCTGGGTTAGTTCCTGAGTTGCAGTGGGTGGCCTGCGTTCAAAGCCCAGTTGCCTTGAGCTGTTTATCTAACCCTCCTATGCCTCACTACCCCCTTCCGTCAAATGGGGATGTTGATAGTGGCGACATGACGTCAGAAGGTTGTTGCATGTATTAAATGAGATTCTGAGATTCCTGGGCTTTTTAATAGGCTCAATTATGATTGGCTAAAATCTCTTGTTTGTAAGGGCTAGAGCCCTAAGGCCCAGAGGGCTGAACTACCCTCCCAAGACAAGAAGGTGGGCGGTGTTGGAGGCCTGGATTTCCTCCTGTGACACCGGCAGGGATCATTGCCTACCTGTGCAAGGCAAGGCCTGGTTCTGGGGGTTCAGCATGAGCCCCTCCTTCAGCCCCCGAGAGGATGGAGGGGCTCCCCCTGCTCCCAGCCCTGGTGGGGCCTCAGGGTGTTGATGGCTTTGTTAGAACTGAGGCTGCCCCTTGCCCTCTGGCATCTGATAGAAAAGTCTGGGCACGGGAATTGATAAGGCCCCCAGGTCTGGGACATAGTCGGGAGCCAGTTTGAGGCCTTGCTATTGGAAGGCGCCAAAACATGACCTTCTGTGGCCGCTCGGCACTGATGACGTCACCCTCTGGCTCCCTTACAACAGAGGCCGAGCAGAATCCCAGGAATGCTCCCACCCGAGACTGCATTTAAGACACCTCATGTGGCCAGCCCCAGGGCCCCTTCCCCGTGACGTGGGGCCTGCTGTGGGGTCAGAGCCAGCCAGGAAACATTTCCAGCACTGGCTGCATAACCTGGCGTGCAGATTTTGCCTCAGTCCCCTGGGAGGGCAGGTGTATGACCCGCCTTGCGGAGGGTGGACGGAGAGCCCACGTCTTCCTGTTCCTGCTGTGTGGCAGCTAGAAAGGTGCTGCAGACTGCGCACATAGGTGCAGGTGAGAGCTGGGGCGTCCTGAAACAGTTTTGTTGTTGTTGTTGTTGTCATTATTCAATTGAAAATAATTCTTGCTGCTATCTCCATGCTGGTAGAGTGTAGCACTATTTGCCAGGAGGTCTTTGTAAGACAAAGCTTGGGGTGGGAGAGCAGCAGGCAGGCTCTGGCAAGGTACCTGGTGTGATAGTTGGTGAGGTCCTCCTGTGCCTTACCTAAAGTGTAATCATGAAGCAACCATCTCGAGGCTAAAACTATCTGTCACAGTGCCTCTTGATCAGCTCACAGCCCCTGGGCGGCAGCCACCTCCGGCCCATGCTTGTCTTGGGGTTCCGTAGGAATACAGTGTGGCTGTGTATGGGGTTTCCTCTGCGGCAGCTTTTCAGCTTCATGGGCCGAGCTGAGGAGTGACTCTAGATTCCCCCATATCCCCTCCTCCTGAGCCTTCCAGATTCAGTAACTGTCCTGGACTGAAAGAGCCACCCAATGTGCGTGAGTCAGTGGGATCTTACACAGCCCCCCAGGGAGGAAGAAGAGTGAGGGCCATGCGGCCACATGGGAAAGTATTTATAGCATACAGAGTGGGATGGAGGGAATTTTCCTTGGAAAAAGATCTCCTTGAGTGTTGCCAACAAATTACTCTAAGGTGGGGAGGAGGCAGCTCTTGGGGGCCTGGTAACCACGGTGACACCGGGCAATGGCAGGTTCTTCCCCATGCCTCCACCCGTCCTGGGAGAGAGGGCTCAGGGGGCAGGCAGGGCCAGTGGCTGCAGATTGCCCTGTGCGATGGCGGGAAAGGCAGCCAGCCCAGGCTGCAGTCAAACACCTACTCACTCAGACACTTCCACATTCCCAGTTGGTCCACCCGGCCGCCAGCTGCAGAAGCTTCCATGTGGATGGCAGACCTGGGACGGAGCTGCCGCGCCCTCCCCCGCTCCTGCATTCTTGTGGGGAGATGGAGGTGCAGAAGCCAGACTGCTGGCCGGCCCCTGCTGTGGGCTCTGAGCCCCAGATGGCATGGCCCTGCCCATGGACAGGGGCACCTCTGTTCTTCCCCTGCACCAGAGAGGTGGAGGGGTAGGGCGCGGGGGTCCTTGTGTGGCAGTGGTCCTCACGAGTGAAGCAGAGGGGACGTTAGAGGCCGCGTCCTCACTCTGCCCGGGTGTGGAAGGGCGGAAATTCCTGGGCAAGATGACCAGACCCAGGGAGATCTGAATATTGAATTTCCGAGAAAATATGCAGTCTGCGGCCTCCAGACTTGGGGAGAACTGCTAAGAATTGGGGCATGATGACCACAGGTGGTGTGCAGGAGGGAGGTGGGAGGTGGGACGTGGGGGCTTTGACCAGACCCGAACACGAGTGCTTGCCAGGCCCTGAAGAAGCTGCCTTGGACAGAACCGGGGTGCTGCAGTGCTTAGCACATGGCAGGAAGGCTGTGGCAGCACCACATGCTGCCCTCACCCCGGCCAACACAAACACACACGCATGTCCTGGCTGGGTGGGGCCTGCCACCCAGGCCTTGTGCCAGCACTGCCAGGCTCCAGGGAGCTGGGCTGGATGCTGCGCCCCTGTCCCCACTGGCAAGCTGGTTCCCTCCCTGCTATGCACGTCCCTCCTCTGCCCCCGGTACATTAGTCCCAGCCCCACTCACTGCTGTCATGGAGCCATGGACACAGCGACACAGTTGTGCTCTCACCACCTGCAGGCCCCATGCTCCCAGCCTCCAGGATCCAGCTCAGGTCACACACACATACAAAGTGCTCTTACTGAGCACCTGCTGTCACATCTGTGAGATGACTGTGTCCTTGAGTGCGGACCAGATGGCCAACATGAATCCACTAAGGGCATAGTTAGCCCCTGTGCGAGGACAAGGCCGGTGAGGAAGCATTCATGTTCCGGAAGCCAGCCCAGCCATCATGTTGCTGTCCCCAGAACCCTGCTTGTTCCCATGCCGGGGTGCTTGCCCTCGACTGGCTCCCAAAGCCATTTAGATGCTTCCCAAAGTCCCCTGGGAGGAGGAAGATGGTGCAGCAGCCTTTGCTCCAGTTCCAGGCTGGACAACTATGTGAAGCTCATGCAAGGATAAGAGCCATCTCAGACCGGCTCGCTCATGGGAATGGCAGTTGGGAAAAGTCCCAGTGGCATCAGCACTCCTTCCCATCTGGCACCCTCCAGCAATGAGATAGCAAGGGCCTCAATGATGAAAGCCCAGGGCAGTCTCCACTCTGAGGACATCACCCTCTGATGGCCTGTGTCGCCCATAGCAAGTGCAAATGCCCTCCCTCTAAGCTGTGACAGTGTAGTCACCACAGCTACCTCCTGCATGTCTCTCAAGAATGGTGACCTTACATGTGTTACTTTACTAGAGCTCAAGTGACTGAGCAGCAGGTGCATGCTCAGTGCCAGCCTGCAGGGGTGAATGCAGAGCCCAGCCACCCAGCTAAGTCCTCCTGTGCCTGAGCACCCACTGCTGACCTCTGATGAAGAGACACTCACGTATTCCACATCCTTGCTTGGGTCGCCCAGGCTGCCGTTGGTGGTGGGTGCTGCTGGCTCTGCACCTTCTGGCTTTTCCTGCTGCTTGCCCTCCTCCTTGGGCAAGCCACCCTGGCCAGGGAGGGCCACCTCTCCCACGCCGAGGGCCTCACTCTTGTACTGCTTGACAAACTCCTCCATCAGGGGCAGCTCGGCCTCTGACAGTCCACGGCAGCGGGAGGGGTCCTGGTCATAGATGGGGAGTTGGTGCATGAGCTGGCGCCGGCGGTAGTAGGCACCCTCGGTGCCCGTCACGGGCTGCTTCTCCTGGGGGATGAGCTCCATGTACTGTAGACCCTAGAGAGGAGGTGGGAAGGAGACTGCGTCAGTGGACAGGAGGGCTGCCCAGAACCCACCTGGAGCCCAGGCTGTGGCATCTTCCCATCTAGTCAACAGCTGGAAGACGCACAGCCTTTGTGCTTTACCTGGGCATGGCAATCCGTGCCCATCACAACTGAGAAGGCACGGACGAGCATGAGAATGTGGGAGAAGCCTTGGCCCCTGTCTGAGTGTGCAGGAAACTCTGGCTCCGTCACAGTGGCTGTTGCCATGCAAGTGTGGGTGTTACAGGTCATCTACACTTTAATCATGGCTCCAGACTTTGATTTCAAAAACATTTTAAAAGGGATGCCCCAGCCCATGGCAATGAGCTGCATTTCTCCTGTTTCCCAAAGCTAATTTGGATGTGATTTCTTTATGTGTGTGAGAATGTTGGTTAAAACGAAGCCCCATTCGGTGGCTCTGTGTCCCCAGTGGTGGTGACAGCCCATGCTTCTGGCATGTGACATGTGAGAGACACTGTTTGCACTTGCCATTGTGTTCTCCACCTGCTCATCAACTGGCTAGTTCTCCACTAGCTGGAGAAACAGCGCTGTCTTCCTGCTGTGACTGCAGTCTACAACCCACACCTGGAATATGAGGGATCTTTAGGAACTCCGTGGAGGGTGTGTGTAATCTACAACCATGCACAGACTTCAAAACTTTGCCACAACTTTCTGAGAACCTGGCATCTCTGGTCTAGAGGCCGTATCACACTGGAGGCCATTGCACCGGCTGCGTGTACTGCTCCTGCACCAGGGGCTGGGGGTCAGAGTCTCAGGGACAGACACGGTCTGCTCTTCAGTTCTCTCCAGCATGGAGCAGGAGGTCACAAGAGGTCATTACAGCTGGCCATACAGAACAGCAAGAAAACACATGGTGGTAGGGTAGGGGACCATGGGGGACCCGTGAGTCCCAGGGAGTGGTAGGAAAGAGCAGGGCAAAGACGCTGGCAGGGAGGCTGTGGGCAGGGCAGAGGCCTGGGGCTGGAGAACACGAGGCTGGTCCCACAGTGCTGAGTGAGGGGAAGCTGCCCCCGGCACAGCCCACACCCTATGGGCTCCCCTCCTCCTCTGCCAGCAGCTCTGGAATTGTGGAACTTCCTGACCCCACGCTGCCCTGGCCACTGTGGAGTGGTCAGCCCTCAGCCTCGTGGCTGCCCTTTTTCAAGGCAGTGATGGCTGTACAGGCTGCAGCTGGAGGAGCATGGACCCAGAGCACAGCCCTGGAAGGTGCCTGCTGGTGTAGTCTCCTTGACAGCACTGGAAGGCTCCCTTCTGGTGTCTGTGGGACCAGGCCCAGCACAGGAACTTGTCATGACACCACGGTTCCTGGAGAGCAGCACAGTGGGACCCATGTGAGGCCCCTGATTCCTGCCATGGGGAGCTGTTTGTGCTCCCTTTCTTGGAAGAACTGAAGTGGCCCCTCTGCTCTCCTGTGAGCTGGCGGTGGACACATCCCAGTTCTGTGGGGAAAATCAGCCTCCTGTTCATGGGGACACCCCCTCCGAGTGATCAGCCAGCCCTGCTCAGAAGGGAAGGGGGATGTACGTGTGAGAGCCGGAAGGCCCTGGGGATTTACACAGACCCCTGTGTCCAGTGCATGGATGCAGAAGACTGAAGCCCAGTCAGCAGGGTTGAATCCACTGCCATCCCCTTCCACCGTCCTAGCCTTGGATCAGGAGCACCCAGGTGCTGTTATTTATTAAGGTAGGGGAGTGGGTGTCTTACCAGTTTCTGGGTGACCCCCGGGGGTGCCCATTCGTAAGTGACGGTATCAAAGGTGGGGTCCTTGCCGGTGGCAATGGGGTTGGTCATGATCATGCGGTTCCTCTTGTAGACCCGGACGCCGTCCCCGCCCTTCACGCGGGCAGTCAGGGTAGAGTACTTGGAGTCCATCAGCAAGCGGCCGATTTTGCGATCGTCTTCCAGGTCAGAGCTCAGGCAGTGATCCTCCTGGCTGCACTTGCACGACCTGCAGATCTTCCTGGGGGTGAGGGGAGGAGGTGAATGCGTGAGATGGACCTTTGGATGAGAGAGGCAGGGTCTCAGCTGGCTGCTGCTGCCCTGCTGGGGAAGAGGACTCAGCTTCTGGCTTTTGCACGCTGGGAAGATCAGCAGCAGGCAGAGACATGAAGAGGCTCTGGGCCAGGACACCACTTTCGAGAAGCAGCAGCCTTTTTGCCAGGCTGCTTGCCCGGGGGCAGTGTGGGACGTGTGGCTCGTGGGTCAGCTGCTGCTGCTGCTGTGCCTTGGGGCCCTGCCGTTGGTTACTGCTCTGGGACCACAGCGGTGGAGCTGAGTGTACTTACGTATTTACTCCCTGCTCTGGCCCTTGACCAAAACTGCCTGCCAATCCCCGCTCTAAAGAACTATCTCCTGAGACCTAGGAGTCTGCATTTCAGCTGCTTGTAACCTCTTTAGCGTGCACCTGAGAGTACAGGGTGGCGTTTTTGTCCTGAGACCTGGGGACAGGATGCTCTGGGGATGGGGTGAGGGAAGGAAACTGGGAAGCAGCCAGTGAGGGTCCTGGGAGTGCTGTGGACAGGTCTCCTGAAGTGACATTGCCAGTGACAAAACAAAACACTTGCCCTCTTGCTGCCGAGGGTAAGAGTGGCGAGGTCCCTGTGCTGCATGTCAGCTGCAACAGTGCCTTTGCTGTCAGAGCTTGTTAAGGGAAGTGAGAGACTGCCAGTACAGGGAGGGCCGGCAAGCGGGCGGAGGGGATTCCAGCCAGGAGCCCAACATGCGTGAGCTGATTAGGCCAGGATGGAGTGGGGTCCACCTGGGATAGGGTATAGCAGGAGTTTCCAAACGAGGGCAGAGCCACCTGGAAAGGTTCCAGATGGTCACATAAGGGAAGGGAGGCACTGCTGGCTCCCAAATGCTGCCCAGAGCAACCCCACACATGAGTAAGGTGCGCAGATCCCTGTGCTGGTGTAGGCCTTAGCCACTACGCACAAGCCCATAGGAGCTGGCACAGGAGTGGGAGAGGCAGAGGAAGCCAGGTTAGCACTGGAGCCAGACCCGGTGCCTTGGGCCTTTGTGACTGGGGCACAGGGACACAATGGGTTGCACATTCTTCTTGTGTACCCTTGTGGGCAGCATGGCATAGGAATGTGCTGGGGAGGGGTCATGGGGTCAAGGTCATGTTCACTGGGCTGTAAACTGAGAAACGTTAGAATTGGCCTCCCAAGGGACCAGTGTGATGCCAGGCCTGACCTCCCATGGGCACAACCAGACGTGGAAGCCACTCCTGCCTCACTGAGATCTCGGGAGTGTGAGGATGCTGTGGGCGAGGTTGTGGAGATGCACAGCACTGGGTGACGGTTGGGTTGACCAGGTGGTCCTGAGCGGTCCCTCCTCCCGTTCCAGTGTGTCCTGCTCCTGCTGGGACTCAGTAGCTGCAAGAGAGCCCCTCCCCTCAGCTCACTCTTCCAAGCATGGGAACCATGGGGGACACTCAGAGGCATTCAGGCACGGTCAGCCTGCAGGTCAGCCCAGCCTGCCCTGAGCTGCCGAAAGGGGAGTTTCCTGTTCAGCCAAGTTGGCTGGCTGTCTGGGCACCAAAATATCTTCCCAGCAACTGGAAGAAAAAAATGGATGTTTGTTTTGGTAGCTACAATGTTGGCTGAGACACCTGCATCCCATATGGCAGAGCCTGACTGAGGCTCAGCTCTGCTTCTAACCCAGGAGCCTGCTGATTTGAGTCCTGGAAGGCAGCAGGTGATGGCTCTCATGACCCCTGCAGTCTACATGGCCCACTTGGGTGGAGTTCCCAGCTCCTGGCTTGGTCTGGCACAGCCCCAACTGTTGTGGGCATTTGGGAGTGAACAAGCAGATGGAAGACGTCTCTGTCTGTGCCTCTGCTTTTCAACCACATACAGTTAAACTCTTTAAAAGCACCCGAGTGGGAGACCCAGAGAAATCTCCGGGCTCCTGGCTTTGGATCAGCTCAGCTCCAGCTGTTGCAGCCGCTTAGGAAGTGAATCAATGGACGGAAGATCTTCCTTTGTCTCCTCCTCTCTGCATATCTGACTTTCCAATAAAAGAAAAATAAATCTTTTTTGAAAAAAGCAGCCACTCCTGCAGGCTCAGTGAAGGTCAGGCAGGATCACTGAGAGGATCCTTCCCAAAGTGCTGCCCACCTGAGAACCCAGACACCGTGGCGCTGGGGGCACCCACGTCCTCCTTCACATGTGCAGGGGTGCCAGCCACAGGGACACTGGGGACTGTGCAGTGTGACAGCCTCTCCCTAGCTGATGGAAGAAGACGCCACAGATCCAAGTGCTGTGCGAGGGCCCTGTACAGAAAGTCTTTTATTTCTACTCTCCACACCCACTGCTGGTGCTGGTGTTCCAGGAAGGGGCTCCCTGCCCAGGGCCCAGCCCATGCTTGCCCACGTCTTTCTGGAGCAGGCCCTGGATGGGCTGGGCTTGCTGGCCTCTACCCAGAAGCAGTTTATGAAGTGAGAGATTGTCCTTCTGATCTTTGCTTCTCCAGGACTCTGCCCTTGTTTTTGATCGGGCCTGCCAGGTGAACCAGGGCTGCCAGCACCCTCTCACCTCCCTCTGCAGAGCCGATGGAGTCTCTTACCTCCATGAGTGTGGCTCGAAGCCCGAGCATGACCCCTTGCATCTCAGACAAGCCACGCCTCTTGCTGCCTGCTGCTGGCCCAGAGACATCTGGAAGAGGAGGCAGAAAAAAGGGTGTTATCCTTCTACACGTCCTGGACAGGATGCTGGACTGCTAAAGGACGCGGCCTGCCAGCAGAGCACTGTGTGGGGCTGCAGCAACTAAGAGCTGTGGGCTGACGCTGCCGGCCAGGCAGAGGGAGGACTGTCCGGGAACAGATGGGGCCATGGGGCAGGCAAGCCCAGCGGCCCCACCCTGCCCAGTGAAACTGCGTGATGGGTCACGCCTAGCCACCTGTGCTATCACAAACAGCAAGGTTAGGGTTACTGGTGAGGTATGATTAAACCAAAGCCACGGGCACAAGTGTGCGTGATGCTGAACGGTGTAGCTTGAAGTGCAGTTCACGCTGTTCACACATGGACAGCTTTGGAAGCCGAGTGTGTGAGGTGGCTTCTGTTGTCCCATACCAGCCAAAGTCAACAGCACTCACTGCTGCTGTGGTCAAGCCCAGATGGCTCTCAGACAGGCTCTGGTGATCAGCACGCCCCGTGAGAGCCTGCAGGCAGCGTGGGGCCCACATTGGCCCTGCTGATTCAGAGCTAGCGTTTTAACACAGATCCCATTCCACTAACATTGAGAGACGAGGTGGGGTAGCACTGGACACAGTGGTCAGGACTCTGCCACATCCCTAACTCTCCCCTGGGGGTGGGGGAGGGGCGGCATCTGGCGCACCTGGTGAGATGAAGTTGGCCTCACATCCTGTGAGCAGTCAGCGGTGTGCTGCGCTCACTGTGTGACCATTCCCAAGCCTTTGTGACAGGCTTGCACTGCAGAGGAGAGGTGCACAGAGGGGTCATGTGTGCCCGCCTCGGCCCTACACGGACGTGACATTGTGGTGCCTGCACCTGTGTCGGGGCTGAGTCTGCACTGCTAAGGTGCAGGGTGCACTTATGCACCAAGCATTGCCATCATGCCTGTGAAAGGCACTTCCTGAGGCCCCCTGGACAGATGGTCCTTAAGATGTATCCCTGTCCTGACCCTCCCAGGACTTCTGCTAATTGTGTCTCATGCATTTGCACAGGCAGCTTTTCAAAGAGGAAGTGGGATTACAAGGTTAAGCTTAGTATGGTACAAAAAAATCTGAAATCCATACATAGTTTTTCTCGTACCGTTCTCCATGCCCGTTCTGAAGGCGTTCACGTGTAAACACAAGAATGAAGCATGGAAAAACACAAGCAAGCAGAGGGTTCATGCTCTGTGGATTGGCTGTGGCGCTCCCCGAGCCGGCTGGCAGAGCCAGACGTCTGCCCTTGAAGCCAGCTGCTCCTGTCACCCGAGGGTGGCAGCAGGAGGTGAGGCGGGCGGGACACTCTACATGGGTGCTGGGAGCCCAAGGGGTTCTGGCTTCTGTCCTGTGAGGACAATTCCAGGGGACAAGAAAATATGTCACCCTGCCAGGAAGAAGTAGACATGGTTCTGAGGCCACCCTGCTGGCTGGCTGTGTGACCCAGTGAATAGTCCTTTGTCCACTCTGTGCCTGCCGCCTAGCAGCCAGACAGGCCCTCCATCTCCCACAGAAAAAACTCTGGCCTTGTTTACTGAGGAGGGTGGAACTCCAGCCAGAAGCAGTCCAAAACCAGAGATGCAGGTTTATAAACAGCAAGCTCTGTCTGCGTGCGCGTACACACACACACACACACACACACACACACACACACACACACACACACACACACACACACACACAGCATCATTCCTTCCCTGGAGCCAAGACCTGGGAAGAAGCTTCTGGAATGCAGCCTCCAGCCCAGCACTGTGTGGGCATTTGCTCAGGATGGCGGGATGTGACTCGTCTGGTAGGGACTTGGAAGGGCTGCACTGAGAGTCCCCTGAGTAAGGGGTGGTGCATGAAGCAGGGCTCCATCGTGGGACTTGTCTCTCTGCAGAGACACATGGGGGCAGTCAGCGCTGAGAGCCGGGGCAGGGGCAAGGAATGTCCAGGGGCCCATGGCACCATGCAGCGTGGAGCTTAGAGAAAACAGCTCCCAGCCAGCTTGCTCCTCCTGGGTGACTTCCTGTCTCATGACTGTTTTGCATCAGCAGGGCTAGTGTAGCTATTTGAAGTATTTACTGTCACTAAAACGATCCCAAACTTGGAAGTCAGGTAGGCCAGTGATCCCCGCAGTGGCAGCTGCCAGTCCACTTGTCACACACTCTCACTTTACAAGGATACCTGGGCTGTGTGATGCCCAGCAGGTGTGACTGCTGCTTCTCCCCAACAGGTCTGAGAGTGGACATGCAGGGCGGGTAAGTGGGCTGCCCATCAGTGCCCAGGGGTTGGGGTGGGAGGTGGTGCCTCCTCTACTCCAGTTGAAGCAAAAAGCGACTCATCTTTCCCATCACTTTACACAACCTCCATAATTCCTTTATGCTTTGGGGGACCCTGTGAGGGAAGGACTTTGATGAGGAAGCTGAGGCCTCCGAAAGGGAAGTGACACCAAAGAACTCTGCTGCGGTGCCAGGCTGTCACACTGGGCAGCTGCTTCTGTTGGATCCGCCATGGTGTTTGTCACCCCAGGCATGGCACTCTACAGTCTGCAGGCATGGAGTCCCACGCCTCAGTGAGTTTTCACTGATTCGAGGAGATGGGTAAGAGAAGCGAGCTGCTGAGGGCACGAACCTTCTTGTGTCGCTGCTTACAAAAACAAGAGCGGAGCCCATGGCCAAGAAGCAAGTCACTCCCAGGCTTAGTCCTGCTTCCCAGGAGTGTGGATTTGGGGCACTGGTACCACAGTTCAGAACCCCTTGTGAAGGAAGGATCAAAGCTGCTGGACCAAGGGTCACTGGGCTTCAGTGACAGGGTCCTGCTTATGTGTCCAAATGTCTCCTGTCTCCACGGCCAGCTGGGTTTGTGGCACTGCACACTCTGTGGGACCAGTGCGGCCCTTCCCTGCAGATCCCCAGGGATGCCCATGCGGGGATGTGTTGTTTTCCAGGCATTGGGCTAGGCTTGAGCTCACCACGGCTTCAGTTGCCCTGTGGGTGCTGGGTGTCCCCAGCCACACCCCAGACCTGGGAAAGTAGGCACTCTGCGGTGGGTGATTCTGATGCAAACCCCGAGTCTGGCAGCCATAGACACGCGTGGGAGTGTGCTGCTGCAGGAGCAACTGTCTCTTTTCTGGGATGTTAGTCCTCAGAAAGCCAAGGGTGCCAGGACAAGTCAGCTCCCCCAAACGACAGAGTTCCCGGGGGTCAAATGAAGGCTTGAATACAAGCATCTCTGAATGCTGAAATCCACACTTTAATTGAAACAAGACACTGCAGTTATAAGCCAGGGAGTGGTTTTCCAGATAACTCATGAATGAAGAGTCAGAAGGGAGAGCTGGGAAGGACTGCACTTGAGCAGGTGAGAGCCACACTTGTTCCTGAGACTGGTTAGCACACAGCTCACCTGGACCGGCACAGAGCACACTCCAGCTCAGCAGCAAGGGGCCAAGCTTGACATTGCCCAGCCTTGCTGATCTCCCGGGGAAAATGCTGCTGCTGCTCCAGGGACCACACTTGGAGTTGCAAGGGACTCTGCCATGGTTCCTAATCTTATGTGCAGATTAGAACTCCTGGGGAACTTTGAAATGCTTCCAAGGTCCAGGCCACATGACAGGCCAGTTTAGCAACCATCTTTGGGGTTCCTCAGGGGACCTCATGAACCCTGTGGCCTCAGCCCGGGCCCTCCTCTGCTCCAGCTTAGACTCAAAGACCCTGGACTTACTGGTTGGGAATCCTTGCTCACTCCTGTTGCCTGGATGCCATGGCCAGGAAGGTGAGAAAGTGCAACCATGTTGGAGAACAGAGTGGGATTTCTGGGGATGCACTCCCAGCAGTGCCACTTCTGGGTGCAGTGCAGTGCACACCTCAGATGCACCTGCATGCCCACTTTCACTCACTCCTTCCAACAGCTGAGAGACACAGCCCCAGTGTCTGTGCGCACAGGGTTGCTGGCTGGTGGGGGGATGTGGCACACTCCCACATTTGACCTAAGGGATGGGAGCACTGGCCACTGGGGAGTGGCCAGGGCAGACAGAGATGCTTCCCGGGCCTCCACTCCCTGGCAGGTGTCCACTGGGGTGTGAAGGGAGCTCCCTGAATGCCTCCAGTGGGACTGACACCTGTTCATCCCTCACTTCCTGCTCCCTCTCCACTGCCCCAAGCTGCAGCTTGTGGCCACGAGGCCTCTGTTTCCCCAGTCTCAGCCCTTTCTGGGGACTTGTAACTCAGATCCCACGTAGCCTGAAAGTGGCTGGCCTCCCAGTGTAATGACCACAGCAGTGCGATGTGCAGAATGTGTGTATGTGTGCACATATGTGTGCATGTTTATGCATGTGACTGCTCAAGCACAAGTGTGCATGTGTGTGCATGCCCGAGTCTGCCCTTGGGCGTTTCTGTCCTCCGTCTGGACAAGCGTGGTGTGAAGAAACCCCTGTGGTGTGGTTCTCTCTCCCTGAGTTGTGCAACGGAGATAGAAGTGCGCAGACTAAACAGAGATTAGTCCTGTGATTGACTACGCAGAACTCTACGATGGAAACTTGGGCTTTGTTTAAAGCTCAATCCTATTTAAAGCAACAGGATGCAAACACAATTGGTGGATGCCAGGCCGATGGCAGAGGGCCCCACTTGGCAGGACTTGGGGTCAGGGTTCACTTTCTGTTACATGGGTTGGTGTGTAAGATTTATCCCGGGGTGGGTAGCAAGGGCTGACTGGAATGGAGAGTCAGGTGGGCCTGCCTCAAGACAGTAGGAGTTTTGGGGGTCCCAAATGAAATGCTGAGCAAATGCTGAACCAAAGACATGTTTTTGTGCTCCTATGTCAGAAATGGAGTTCTCTTTCTACAGTTTGTCCTTTCCAATTTCCTTCCTTCTTCCCTCCCTCGCTCCATTTTTGTTCCTGAAGATTCTTGCTCTAAGGTCACCTGTAGGAGGGCCTGGGTTTGGGGCCCATCACACTCTGAGCTCTCCACAGGGGACGGGGAGCAGGAGGAAGCCAGAGTACCGT